GATGTTCATGGTGGGGTTTCTTCCTGCTCAGTCTTGAGTGTCCTGAGAAGTATCTTCATCCCTCCTCTTCCCCACTGCCTTCTCCCTGGTTCCCAACACCAGTGGCAGAGCTGCCCAGCCCAGGCACACGAAGATCTGGTGTTTGCTGGGCAGTGCCTGCCCGGGGTGGAAGCCCTTGGCCATGCGGGGTGTCCCATCCCTGAGCTCAGGCAGGTCGGGCACGAGGCTGTTGCCCATGGGACTCTTGTGGTCACAGGGACACACAGCTCAGGGCACGGCAAACCCAGAGACATCCTGAGATCCTGCAGTGTTGGGTCAGTGCAAAGCCCATGGCCTTCTGCTAGCAAGGACAAAAATTCCTATTTACTGGGCCACAGGCAGTCACCATAGCAGTGGCGGGTGTTTCTGCAAGATGTAGCATTCAAGGGGAGTTTGCGTTAGGTGGTCTTCTGGGTGTCCAGGAGAAGTAGTGCTGCACCCCAGCAGCACTAAATCAGGAGGGACCCTTTCACCAGCCAGGCTGCAGGTGAACTGTAGAGTGTGACTGGGGCTTAACGCAAGTGGGCAACTGTTTTAGATGCTCCATGATGAAACGACAAACACCAGCAAGCTTGAACTTCAGTGAGCTTTTAAGGGCGGGTCGTTTGGAGAGAGGACTTAGCCATGAGGAATTTGGAGATAAAGTCAAAAGTCCCTAGAGATGGTGAGTGGTGAGATCACACGCACAACTTCCACTCAATGTGTGCTGACATCTCAGAGAGCAGCCACGCTCCTCTTTTTAGAGACACTGCTGGGGCTGGCAAATTGGCTTGCTACACCGTCTGTCTGGGACATCGGCTTGCAAAGCAGTCAGAGGGGCTCTGGGCCTGATTCCACACTACTACTGGTGCAAGTTCAGCCCGAGACTGTCACTTTGCCGTGGTGAAAGCCTCATGGAAGAGAAGAGCAGAGCCAAACACGTGTTGTATACTCAACTTGTTTTTTGGCTTCTTTCTGACAATCCTCCTTGTCCAAGAGACCTGCTTATTCCTCTAAGGCCCCTTGCTGGGGCCGTGCAAGCATTGCCTGGCCTTGATCTGTGCAGATCCGTGCAGGTTTGAGATGAGAGGGTTTCTTTGTTCCCGTCAAAAGCTCTCAACTCCTGCAAAGGAATGGGTCTTTTCTGAAATTATTCACATGCCCAAGCATTTTTTTATGGTAAAGAGAACTAGTAATGAATGCAAATATCTTAGATTTCCCCTTTGAGCTACAGGAATTTCTCTATTCTCTGTATTTTCTGATGTCACTCAGATGCTACGGTGGTGGGGGCAAAGAAACACCTTGAGAGATAGCCCCCACGAGGCAGACAGAAGGGCTCTTTCCAGGACATTACACTTCAGCGTGTCACCTTTGCTACTCTTGGAATTACTGTCTGATTTTGATCATCTGTGTCTGTCTGTGACAGCTTTTCCCTCTGCTTACTGGCTTTCCGGCTGCCAGCTATCCCAGCCGTGCATAAGCATGAAGTCAACAGGGTTTTCTCTGCTGAACATCTCAATACCTTTGTACTAGACAGGAAAAAATATAGACTCTCTCCAGCCTGCCCATCATATGCCCTCTCCCGTGTCCATTGCTTTCATAGCGGGAGCTGTGTTTGTGGGCGCGGCTTGTCTTCCTCCTATACTTCTGCCAGGAGGGTAGAGATGTTATTGCAGGCATCGCAACACGCTTTAGCATCCTGCAACAGTGGGTGGCAGCTTTAAGGGAAGGAAGATGTTTGAAAACTAAGGAAGGGCATCGCATGGGAGATAATGGAAGATAAATGTCACTTTCTGACACATAGTAAATCCTTTGGAAAATTGCTTTTTCAAAAGGTTTGAGGAAAAACAGGGTCAAATTTGGCCAATAGGTTCAGCCTTCCCCTCTCCTGCAAGAATTGGAAGAGATGGTATTTTGAACTCAACAAAGTATTTAACTTCAGTGTTTTAAAAAAGAGGTAGCTTAGTTTAGAGATGCTAGAACAGTTCTTCTCCACATTTCTAACCAGAACTTTCAATTCAAAATGCTGTTAGTTTGTTTTAAACTCATCTGTGATCAAAAATGTAAATTGTGTTAGAGAGTATAATAAGCCAAAAGGGAAACAAAGCTTTTGGTTGCAGGCTGAAATGAAATTTATGATGATCTATATGAAAATAATTGCTTTTTCTTTTTTTTTTTTTTAAGTTATTCATTTTGTTGCTATGATTATTGCCATGGTCTTTCAATTAAAAAAAAAAAAATCTTTTCACTTTTTAATTCGGATGCTGAAGCAAGTTTGCCTTTATTCTGGCTTTGGATGAGAATATTATAGCTCAGTGCAGGTGATGTGGGCTACTCTGATTGCATCGCTTCTGGGTCTGCTCCTAAAATCCTTGTCCCAGGAGAGCATTTGCCACAGGTCTCCCTTCTGTCTTTCCCCTCCTGCTGCTACTGTTGAACCCCTAGAAAGGAAGCCCAGGTGCACAAGCTCTGTGTGAGTCACATCTTGCTCTGCCCTTGTCCCCAGGAGAAATGAAGTAGGAACCAAGGTCCTGACGTGCACCATGAGGTCAGTTTAGACACAGCTCTGATGGCAGCTTCTCTGTAGACAGCCTGTGTGGAGGAGGTACTGGAGGAAAGTAAAGGGTTGGGGAGCAGAGGAAAGTAGCCAAGCTCCTAGAAAGGTACAGAAGACTTCCCGTCCTCTTTCACACTGTCCACTTCAGCCTATTACAGATCCACTAGACCCCCTTGCATTTTCCATCACCTTTCACCAACAAGGAAATGGTAAATAGTCTGAGGGTGGAGTTTTACTGCAAACATGCTGTGCAATATTTATGAAGGCCACTGTGAATAATTAATGGTTTATCGCAACTTTAGCCACAAACTCTTTTGTAAGATCGGCACGAGACACAGCAACACTTTGCCAAGGAGCGTTGCTGATGTAGTTCTGGTCTGTGAGGATCCTCAAAAGGGCATGGCTAGTCGATCTACCTCTGAGAAAAGGGCAGGAAACCCATCCAGGAGTGGGACAAGGGCTTTGGGTCTTTAACTCAAGTGTTCCTCTGTGGTTTGTAAAGCAGATGCTATTGCAGTTCTGTTGTGTAGGCTATGTGCACCAAGTTGGCCATTCTCAACCCATTTTCTCCCAGGTGGGAGGTCACATCCCAGCAGCAACCATCATGGTCAGCAGTAATTCGTACTGGTGGTAGTGGCCATCAATAAGGGGTTAAAGAGGAGTTGCCATCAGAGCTTGAGGTGGGACCCTAAAAATAGAGGAACACTACATACTGAAGTGCATCTTTTGCATCTACATACTCTTCCTGCATCTTTTATCCCAATAACAGCTGTTAGAGAATATTCCCAGGAAAAGTATAAAAACATTTTCCAAACCATCATGTCAAAACCAGTCAAGTTTAAACACAAGAAGTGTCCGGCTCTGACAATAGATTTTTCTACAGAGCTGTATGTCTGATTTTCATGTTCAGCCCTTTCTCCAAGCGGTAGCTGCATTTTGAACAAAAGCAAAGTGGAAACCTTGCTGCTGTTCTTCAAAACGATTAGCCAGAGGGGGACAGGGATAGAGAGGGCTCTGTGTGTGTGAAAGAGGGAGCCGTGATGTGTGTCAGGTGGTTTTATAAACATGGATTAATGGTCTCCAAAGCTCAATAAGGTGACTGCATGATGTACCTGCTCATTCAGAGGAGCTGAGGAGAGCTTCAAATATTTGTGTCATCATTCTTAAAGAGAGGGGGAAAAAATAATCTTCATTTAAATGCATATAGTAGCTTTTCACTTGGGACTGAGTGGAAAGTTTTTCTATTAAAATGCAAATGAAAGAATAAACTGTAACTCCAAATTTCTCCCTGAAAATGGATGTCTCTTCTCTGCATTGTGGTTACAGGGTGATCTGTGCCTTCAGAGTGCAAGTATTTTATCTTGATTTTGGGAAGAAGGGAGAGCAGGAGGGTAAGAAAAAGAAGTTTGAGATTTGGGGCCCCTAAAGTAATTGTGCCCCTTTTTTGATATATTAACACAGCACCATGTTATGTTTGGAAAAGAGGCTCGGAAAATCAGCAGAAAAAGGAGAAAGATGTTCATCTGGACAGTGCTCCTTTTGTGGCTGTAGTATTTCAGAACTCAGCAGAAGCCCTGCTGTGCAGTATCGATGCAGGACACATGCAGTACTAGACTGTCTCAACATCCAAGTCCGATAAGAAAAAGAGAAAGATTTGGGGTCACGCGGTGGGCGTGTGGGGGAGGCAAGACACGAGCTCAGGTGTATCCTCCTTCCCAGGGAAAAAGCCCGTGAGCACAGGGAGAGTTTTTAGATATCTCTCTGGAGCTATACAGCAGGTTCTGTTCCCTTGTCAGATCAATAGGGTTTAGAGTAATCTTTTAAAGACCTGGATGTTTTCGTCACTTGTGAGCTCCACAGTTTGGAGGTGGAGAGTCCCCATTAAGATCCAATCAGCCAGTTCAAGTTTATCTTGCAGAGGTGGTGTTGCATGGTGAGGCAAAAAGACACCTGAGCTGTGTCAAACAGGCAGTGGAGATGGAAGATTGTGGCTCCAGATGCTCCAGGTGTGGAATTGACTTTGCAAGCACAGGGTACAAGGTACAAGGGCAGGCCTGATTTTGCATGGGTGAGGAGAACTGACTGGGGTTAGGTCTGAACTCATCCCACCAAACTTGGCATTCAAGTAGGGTGCCTATGATAGGACTGGTGTCATCCTAGGCTCCTCTATTGGCTGGAAGATATGGTCATCTTCTGAAGTCCAGCTAACACATGATTAACCTCTGGGGGTGTCTAGCTCTCTCCATCACTAAAATGAGAGAGGGAAGGTACCCATGTTCCTCTGCTGTGTTTTCAACACGACCCTTTGCCTTCACAGACTCTGACACTCTCTGATCTCAAGCCGAAGCGGGGACCAGTGTCAGGTGGCACCCAGGTGACAATTACGGGCAACAATCTCAATGCGGGCAGCAATGTCATCGTGACCTTTGGGCGACAACCCTGCCTTTTCTACAGGTACAGATGAGTTCTTCCTACTGTCCATGCCCAAATCTGAAAGATGTGAGCAATTATAGTCAAGACACTCCTCCTGCAGCTCAGACACCCTGTCCCTTGAGTGCCTCTTTCGCCTGTGGCCGTGTCTGTTCAGCAATGGGACTTTTTCATTCTGCACCATGCACAACCTTACTGTGCATGTTTTGGGTTGGGAGAATAGGATTTATTTTATTGTTTTGATTGGTATTTGATGTGCTTTTTTCTATGGCCTCTTGTCAAATTTCACTACAATTCTCCACGGTCCTATGCTATGCTACTTGCTCTGGGAGTCTGTCGTTTATGAGATTCATTTTCATGTCCCTGCTTTAGCAGAGGCGACAAAGAAAATCTGACAATATTGGTTCTAAGTATTAAAACACCTCCCTTTTATCCCAGAATAGTTCTGTAGTGCTAAGAAATAGATGATTTGCAACATTTCGGCTCTGGGTTGGCTCTTGTTCAACTGCAGTTCAGAGAGGCTTAATGTCAGTGTTACCTGCTGAATGTTCCCTGATCCCTGTGAGAATGAGCCTGAATCCTGTTCCCAGGGGCTCCCGCAGCTCAAAACTACCCAGTGCAACACATTTTGCTGCCAGTATCAGTGGAGGCTGAAGATGAAGTTGGCACATTCCTCCCAGCCTGTCCTTGGCAGAAGAAGGGCCCATTCATAGGAGACCTGGGACCACTGTCTTGGGGCAATGCCCTTCCTTCTCCTGGCTGTGGGGAACCCGTTTAACCACCTGTCATGACTGTGGTGTGATCCAGCATTTATAATTCAGGAGGGTGAAGTCACAGCTTGTGATTTAAAAGGCCAAGTGGGAACCGCAGCTGCTTGGAGATGCTTACTGGAGACTGGGGAGTTTTAGGAGGGATTGAGCGTGGTCTTTCAGGGTGTTGCAGTCAGTGAAGGTGAGTGCCATGCTGCACAAGGGAAGGATGCACCCTGATTTATCCTTTCTAGGGGTATAAGAAGGGGCTGAGGGTGTTTGGAGCCTGGCTTTTTGGCTTTTTATGGAAGGTAAGGGCCACTGCAAAATTCAGACCTGGAGCTGGTTTTGAGCTCTGCCCAAAAGGAAAAGTTTGTGCAGAATACTCTGAGTATAATCATAAAATGCTTGCCACTACATTAGCACCTCCCATGCAAAGGTCCCAGGCACACTGCAAACTGCACTTAAGCAAGGCTTACAGTCCTAATGCAAAGTAAACTTTATTATCCCAGACTGGAAAGCTGAGGTGCAAACACCCCTTTTTATGAGCTGCTGCTGCTGCACATGTCTGCAGGCAGGAAGGAAACATCCATTAAGTAAGTATTTAATCACACAGAAATACTTCTGGAGAGAGGTCTGTTTTGGACTTCCCTTGGGGTTCAGTTTTCACTCTGAGACCTGAGAAATGATGGCTTTTGTGGTTTTATTTAAACTGGTGGAAAGGCAATGTCACTTCCTCAGATAAATGTGTCACACTATTCACAGCATATTCCTCTAGCAGCGAGTTTCACCACTTCACAGTGTGTAGGTTAAGGTCACAGTACATAGGAGTAAGTAGCTGGGCTCTTTTTGGCACCATTTGGTTTGCTACTGCTAGCGCCTGGTTTATATTTACTTGCTTCTGCTTACAGGAGATCCACCAAGCACATCGTCTGTAACACCACTGCCTCAGATGAAGGCTTTGAGAAGGTCAAAGTGTCCGTGAGAGTGGACAAAGCCAAGATACATCAGGAGTTGCAGTATGAATATGTAGAGGATCCAACCATCCTGAGGATTGAGCCTGAGTGGAGCATCTTCAGGTAAGCATCCCATGGACAACCCCTACCACCTTCCATTGTTTTCTAATGCAGCACTGGTGTGTTCATGTTGATTCTTGACACAGAAAAGTGCTTTCCAAGCATTGTGTTCACTAAGAAATAGATTTGTGCAGAGCTACTTCCCAGAGCCCAAGACCATGAGGTCTGGCGGACTTGCCTCCTGGGAAGACTAAAAGGCCAGAAATGCATTGTGCATTCATTGTAACACCTTGGATGCTCAATGTGTGTCTGGGCTCATGTATACCCCGGGACAAAATTTCCATAGAGTCTAGTGAGAGATGGGCAGGAGCAGGGTCCTTTCTCCAAATAAACTTTGCATAGTCCAAACCTAAATGATCCTGCCACCCTGCCTTCACTAGCAAAGCTTCCTGGCTTAATGCAGCAAAATCCAGCTGCCAATGCTCACCAGAAGCTTGCCTTCAAGCTTTAATTACAAAGGCTGGTACAGCAGGTCTCCAACCTAGTGTTGAAGCTTTCTCCCTCTTTACTGGAGTTTGGGGTTTATCTCCAGTCTGAGTAATATTACAGACCACTGGGACTTGTTAAACTATGCAGTTGTATCTCTAAAAGCTGCAATTCCTAGTGCTTCTGGTCGTGACTGTGTTTTGGCCCCGTTGGGCTGGGTCCACAACTTTGCATGGCAGCAGGGCCAGTCACTGATCTCTTAAACCCAGGCATAAATGTCATAACTGTGCTTAGAGAAGTGAATCTCCCTTGGGTTTGAAAGCAGCAATTCCCACCTTTCCCACAGCCTTCACATACTTGCTGGTTTAGGATTAAGCATTGCTTGTTTGGACATCATGCCTGAAAGCTCCCGAGATGAAACACAAAAGGAGCTCTGGTCTCCGCCCTATCAAAGGGCCTTCCTCCTCGTTAGCCATCCCTTTTTCTCTTCACCCCGTTGATGCTGCTTTGGTGAATTCAGAGGGTTCACATGAAGGTGTCTGAGACGAGCATTTGCTCTGGTTGTGGAAAGCATCAAAGCGATATACCCAAATGCTCTCAGAAGCCTGCAGAAATGGCCTCAGGAAGAGAGAAATTGGTCATTAAATGCACTGGTATTTCCTTGAAAAGATACAAAATAAGAAATCTTAGTCTCCCCTCATTCATCCATGGCAGCTCTCTGCTCCTCTATCAAACAGGACTGATTGGAGTATCTGCGGATTAGGAGCAGGGCTTGTAAATCCCCCCAGTTCAGCTCCCATCCAGAAGATGTTTTCACAAATCAATTAGTGCCTTTAATTACCATGAGGGAATTTACCGATTTAGCTGGATTGAATCTTTGCACATTGGGCTTGAAGCTTTAGTGTCTGGATTTTCCATTTGGGGGTTTTATTTTCAGTCAGAGTTCAGGTTATCAGTGAAATGAGAAATCGCTTTACTCTCTTCCTTATTAAAGTGAGTTCAGTGCCAGTTAAAAGGTGCAAGATTGACAGCCCAGGAGAGTGAATTCCCCTGTTATCTCGAGGAAGGTTGCAGCACAGGGACGTTCCTCTGCTTGGCCTCAGGTTTGGCTGGGAGGTGAGATGAGAAGTTCTCCAGAGCCCATTTGCTCCTTGGTTTCTCTGCTGAAGCTGCCAGCAAGAGATGAAGCAGCAGCCAAGGAGATGCTTCAGGTATATCGGCAAAGCTTTGCCCAGCCCAGAGGTGCAGAGATTCTGCACCCCATTGCTTGCTGCTTTGGATCATAGAATCATAGAATCATAGAAGCATTAAAGTTGGAAAAGACCTCTAAGACCATCAAGTCCAACCCTTAACCCAACACCGCCATGCCCACTAAACCATGTCCCTAAGCCGCACATCTACACGTCTTTTAAATACCTCCAGGGATGGTGACTCCACCACTTCCCTGGGCAGCCTGTTCCAAGGCCTGACCACTCTTTCAGTAATGAAATTTTTCCTAATGTCCAGTCTAAACCTCCCTTGGCGCAACTTGAGGCCATTTCCTCTCATCCTAAATAAGTTAGTCAAGACACCTGGATCTGGAGATAGACTGAGGAGGCTGTTCCGCAGTGTATTTGTTATGCGGTATGATTCATTACAGCAAAATTACTGTGCTTCTCTGATTCATCACTCCTGGCTGTGGGGCTAAGCTGTTTTGAGGGATAGATGATTGCTACTAAACGAGCTTTGCAAAATTAGTGAATGAATGTATGAAGCCTAGCTTAAAACCTCAAGTGCCATTTTCCAAGACAATAAAGAAAAGATTACTGTTCATTTACTCCCATAGCTAAAAAAAAGAAAAAAAAGAGCCACACTGGGCTGGCAGGTAACTATAATTGTATGAGGATCCATTAATACTTTTGACGTGGGTTTGATTTGAGTTACATCCAGCAATTATCTCAGTCTGCAGACAGAAAATTATGCTCAGATCTTTTGGGACAATAAGGAGTTAAATTAAGAAAGCTCGTAGTCTTGGCACCTCTGTTATTTTGGTGGGCAGCAACATCTCTCTGGGCTCTGTTCTGACCTAGGCAAGAAGCGGCCGTGACCGGGTGTTCACCTGCAGACACAAAGGACAATGGCTGGTGGTTTTCATGCAAAGGCAAGCAACAGTTGTATTTGCTTGATTTGCAAGCCAGAGAGGGTTTTGGGGTGATTTCGTGTCTTCAGCAAACACAACTGCTTTGGCTTTTTTTTTTCAGAGAAAAGGTCCCTCTCTGATCCGGTGCTGTGGCTGTGCTTAATAACTGTGGTCTGAGCCTGCAAGCTCGGTTTCCAAACCAAACACAGAATTTTTAACATGTGGGTTTAAAACTGTGTGCACAGACTTGGTTGATTAAATAAAAGGATTTATGTATATATACACACAATCATATATCTGTATATTTGCGCACACATTTGATACATCTGGAACATGTGAAAATCTCAGCTGAGTAAAGATACAGAATCCCTTCTAGTTTGAATCAGCAGAGATTAGTAATAATAATAATAATAATAATAATAAAGGCCCACAGCCAAAAGTCCAAAAGAACCAAAACAGTGGAGAAAGAACAACTTGGTTTATACACTTCTCTTCTGGTTTCTGGCAAGCAAGCTCTCCCTGGGGTGATGTCAGGAATACTTAATGTGAAGTTGAATTTTGGGGAGAGGGTATTTTTTCTGCAAGGCAGGAAGGGGAACTCTCCTCCCTGCGTAAGAGGGGTAAGTGAATGTGTGACTTCAGAAGAGATCCCCTGTGCGTACAAAAGAACTCAACCATCCAAGCAGATCTTACAGAAATGGCAAAATGTGTTTTTGCCCCTTAAAATTTTCCATTAGAAATTGCCCATCACAGCTGATGGCTGCAGAGAGCAAGAACATGAGATACTCTGCGAAACTCCAGGTCAGACGTTGTCCTAACCATGGATCAGTCTGTACAGGCACTACTTGTGTGAAAGACCGTCAGGAACCTCTCAGAGAAGTGTCACAGGACCACCTGCCAAAAGGTATGGTTGTGACAACGATCATTGGCAGAGTTCATGGCTCGTGACTTCAAATTTATGGGCTTCTTAGTCATGTAGGCTATGTTTAAACTAGTAAGTACTTAATCCAGGTCTATTCTTTGGTCCTGAAGCCAGCGAGCATGCATAGCCCTCAACCATACCACCAATGATCTTTCCTCCTTCAAAGGCGATTTAACTTCATCTATCCTGCTATTTGGGAGTGCTCTCTGGCCCTTGCTACCCCTTGAAGCAGGACCAGACATTGCCTGAGCTACTATGGCCACCAGCCAGTGTTTGAGTCCTGGCCGTTTGGTTTACCAGTGTGGGTGTAACTAGAGGGGCTGAAGCACAGTCCCAGCCAGCTGTGGCCAGCTCACTGAAACCTGACAGCTATACTGCTGAGCAGAGACGTATATGGTGGATGAAAAGCTGGGCATGAGCCAGCAATGTGCGCTCGCAGCCCAGAAGGCCAACCCTATCCTGGGCTGCATCACCAGCAGCGTGGCCAGCAGGTCGAGGGAAGGGATTCTGCCCCTCTGCTCTGCTCTGGTGAGACCCCCCCTGCAGTGCTGCGTCCAGCTCTGGGGTCCTCAGCACAAGGAAGACATGGACCTGTTGGAGTGGGTCCAGAGGAGGCCATGAAAATGATCAGGGAGGTGGAACACCTCTGCTACGAAGAAAGGCTGAGAGAGTTGGGGTTGTTCAGCCTGGAGAAGAGAAGGCTTCGGGGAGACCTTATTGCGGCCTTTCAGTACTTAAAGGGGCTTATAAGAAAGATGGGGACAAACTTTTTAGCAGGGCCTGTTGCGACAGGACAAGGGGGAATGGTTTGAAACTAAAAGAGGGGAGATTTAGACTAGATGTAAGGAAGAAATTTTTTACGCTGAGGGTGGTGAAAC